GCTCTGCCATCCCGGAGTGACAACAACCAATCTCTCCTATAGGTTTCCTATTTTTGAAACTTCCGCCACCGCCTTGTGCGGTACTACTGGTAAACCAATTAATATTACTATTTTAATCATCATTTTCCAATAGTCTCTTCATGTTTATTAACCATCACTTTTCGAAAAAAATGGCGCCTGGTGGAGGGAGTGCTGCACCATTGTGCGCCCAAAAAAAAATCGACGCCAGGGGCCACCGCCAGTTGGCCGAAGCCTGCTACAGCCAGAGAACACTGGAAGCTTCTTCGGCCCTGGCGGCAGCCTCTTGGCCTGATGAAATCGCATGGTTTGTCGGGATAGTTTCATAAAGCCATGGACATATTTTCTATGCAGTGTGAGAGAGATAGATTTTTATATACATTAGGCATATATTATCATTATTTTATAAATATATATATATATCTTTCATTGATATAGTATAGCCTTATATTTTTTATACATGGATGAATTATGGAGATGTGAGCCATCGGTTTATGGGGTATTCATGGGATATAATAGGAACAACAATTTTGGCAATGAAGATATACTATGATGAAGTATGTTGAAATAGCATGGGATTGGATGGATATCAGTATACATTCTAATTCACATATATATATATATACATATATATACATATATACATGTTAATACACCCCCAATGGTAAACGAACAAAGCCATGGAACATAACGATTTTCACTGGTAAATCAACTATAAATGGTCTATTTCCTATAGCTATGTTAGGTTATGGATAATTTTTTTGACAATCAGTTATTTCTAAGCCGTGGAAATGAACCAGTGATTAATGGATCTAATGAAAATCACCACCAGTGACAATTGATAATGATAACTGTTATAATCTGGATGAATTACGATGACCCCACTGTGGCCTCACTGGAACGATGCTTAGGATTCGAAGAATCATCCCAAGGAAAAAGACCTTATTTAAGGTTTGTGAACTTGTGTAACTTACCCAGATGTTGAAATACAATGACAAACCTTTGTTTGAAATATGATGATATATGATGATGTATGATGGATGGCGGATGTCACAGATTATCATGATATATCTTGGACAATGTTAAACAAAAAAGGACGACGTATGATGAAACATATAATGACTTGACATATGATGACATATTGGTGGATGATATCTTTGAAACAGCCGCATCACTGGTGGGTTCCCTAACTGCGTAGCCTCCGTGTCGCGTCCATCCGATGGAGAAGCCGCCTCACATGGGGGATATGACGGGGGACCGGGGGACCTAGACCCTCGAAGCGCCCATCAAAAATTGGCAAAGGTCCCATTATAATGTGTAGATCATGATATTTCTCCGATTCTTATGGGTACTTGGAGGCTGTAGGGATATATATATATACGAGGGATAAGCTGGACTTTTGCAGGTGCAGGGCTTTGAGTGTCATCACCCATTATGGGAATCCAATCTGGAATGGCAGAGAGTTTTGAACACTGATCCATTGGGGCTCATATATTTGATCGTCTATGAAAACGATTTTTTTTGGGGGGACCTCGTGTTGGGGATTTAGCTATACTAAGTTGTTATCCTGTAATTTGAGACATGTTACTCGAGATAAATATCGTCATTGGATGTTTATGGGGGTACCATTGACAGTTCGATAATGCAGGTCATTGTCCTATCGGGAGCCGCCCTTGGACTTCCATTGGTTGTTGGGTTCTCACTTGAGCCATTCAACAGAAAAGCTGGGTTCCGCTGCCATATCATAGTTTTTTGTGGTTTCCCCTAGTTATAGAATTATAGACCTAGTCATAACTTGGTTTTTGAATGTTTTTGACTTTATAATTAGTATTCTGTAGCATCTACAGGTACATCTACTATACACCACAACTAGGCTAGTTAGCACTTTCCCCTCAATTCTCTGGGTTCCCTATAGGTTCCCATCTTTCCGAAGCCGAGGCCACAGTGGTCCTGTCGATGTGCGTTTTCATTTCTTTTCGCTGCAGATCGAGACAACAGCGTCCCTCGATGCGAAGCGAGCGGCGAGCGGCGAGCGGTCTGAAAAAGAATTCAGGTTGTAGGGGCCCTTGAGGGAAAGGGAACTCATGTTGTAAACCCGGATCATCCCATTTCTAGGGGCCCAATGTCATTGAGGCTCTATTTGTGGGAGATTCATTGTATTTGATTGGCATAATAAAATCATGATATAGTGCTGGGATGAAAAAAATCCCCAAATTTGAATTTTGTGACATTGGGTATACCCCTTGACATGGGACTATTTAGCATGAGACCCAAATGGTTAATGGAATGGTTTGTGGATTTCGGTTTACTACATGAACTATTCTTCCAACTATATAATTTCCAAAGGTAATTTGATGGTTGTTTCGTGTTCAATCTTAGGATGCTGCCAAAAGATGCCAAAGATTTTGATACCACCATGGGTTCCGCTAACATGCTGGCTTGACCCCTCTCGGGATTCAGTTCCTCAACGAAGCCTAATTTGGCATCAGAACTCCAGCAACAGCAGCCAAAAGGGTTGGAAATTCATTGAGGGCTGGTTCTACCGATTGGTCATCTAACAGAACCTAACATATGGGAAATCCATGGAAATCCCCAAGTTGTAGATAAAGTTCCCATGAAACCGTTGATTTTTGTCGGGAATTTCTCAGTTGGCCATGTGTTGATGTCCAACTTCATGCTGAAAAGGTTTTTCGACGGAGGATGTTTGGAAGCGGACTTCGTCGCCGATGGGTCATGCCACCCCTTTATCTGACAGAGGAACTCTTAGAAGTAGGTTTACAACTCGGCCAATTGCATTTACGGTAGATATTCCTTTTTGATCCTTTGTGTTGATGGGGATTATAGTACAGTATACACCAACTCATATCCCGGGGAGCACGAGCGCCTTAGTAATTATTTGTTCTTCATGCGCAGCAGAGTGCCACTCGGGTTTGCTGCCACTCGCCACATTGATATGGGGCAAAAATACAATCCGATCAGCCATTTGTGGGCCTTGGCTTCAACATAGCCAATGCCATTCTTTGTGCTAAGGAGAAAGAAACAATTCGTATGAAATTAGCTCTGGAGACTGAAGCCCATATGATGTTCCCTGGCTATCGGCATTGGAACTCTCCCAGCGTTGGAAGAAGTGACAGTTTCCAGGAAAGCCCACAAAACTTGCTGGTGAAAACAATATGGTAATGGTATCCAGTAGGTTTTCTCTTAATCCGTCCACGAATATCTTGACAACTGGTATCATATAGACATGGCCCAAGGGACGATTTAGAGGAAAGATAGGAAAGTCTTGACCTTGCCACTTACATTCATCAATTGATGTCACACATATAGTGGAGTCACCAATGGACCGAGAGTTAGATTGAACCCACGGCCCATACATGAATGAATCGCCCATGCTGAAATATTATTATCAACTGGGTGGAAAAGCATCCTTCCAGCCTTCCAGCTAAGCCTGGGGGATGAATTGTCATATAGTTCAAAGTTGATTATGTTTGATTGATTTTACTTGTATGGACTCACTTGTGAAGAATGAAGATTGAGAAAAACAAGTTGTTTGCATGTGCAATGGGTGCCCCAACAGCTACTGAGCACGGATGATCCACGGACCCATTTCGCAATAGTTTTACCAATAAAGTTGCTGCGAATGTGGAATTTAACAACGCCCTTCACATGACAATCAGCAATGCATCATATTTTGGCTTACATCACCAAGATCGCTTGGATCAGCTTGGATTCCCGTATGATCCCATATGATTGCCTAGACCCTCCAAGTATTGTTTTGGGATATTTACCAATATTTATAGCTATTTGGAAGGTGAAGTTATATATCAGAAATATAAATACAGCTAGATACATTTAGAACAATTCACAATATATAAGTCTTAAATTTCGTTTAGTCATATCATTAATGTTTTTTTCAATAGGCTAATATTGGTCTTCATCTTCATTTCTAGGCCTCGATGTCCAGGCAGGTTATGGGTGACCATTGGGATCCGGAGGGCGTATCATCGGTTTTCCAATAAAATGGGTGTGTGTGTGTGCACCCCAAAAAGTGTTCATCATCCAACTAGCCTTGTGGAATTTGCCATTTGGAGGTACACCTGGATTTATCCGGATTTTCATACACACCCAAATGAGGTCATGATGATTCTAAATTGATTCATAATTAGCGCGCTACTTCAGATAGGTTTCATCTTCCATTTTGTGCATCAAGATCTATGTTGTCCAATACTACTGTCAATGGATAGGTTGAAACTCACCAGATCACCATCCATCACCAGAGTAGCCCATTGTGTCAACATCTCAGACTATGCCCATTAAGTGGTGGCTTAGCCAGGGCTTGATCATCCCAACACCTTTTTTTTCATTCTCCAGTGGTGAACGGAGGGGTGAGCTGAGCGTTTGGGGTATCCAATCTTCCCTGTAAACAAGCGGAGCCGGTTTGAGTTTATTCAGACTTTCCCAACCACACGATAGCTGATTATAGGGTTTACGAATGATTAAGTTGTCTATCGCTGTGATGGTGATGATGATGATGATGACGACGATGATGATGATGATAATGATGGTGTTGTTGTTGATGATGATGACGCATGTTAGTTGAATATTGATCGTTCACAGCACTTGATAATTTGATAGGTGGTTCCTTTAGACTCCAGCAAAATGCAGTATGTATGTTCATTGTTACCATGGATCATTGATGTTCATTGATTTAGTGATTTCAATATGTGTTTATATTTGATTTATTGATACTTGTTTGTTTTTCTTTTTTTACATTATTTGTTTTTACATATACACATTTGAATTGATTGATTGATAGATAGATAGATAGATATAAATAATCCAGCTGGCGTGCGACATTCGTGTCTAACTTCCCCTCTTCCCCTCTTCCCCTGACGCCGAGGATCACAGGCGGATTCGATTCGGAACGCGGCGTTTCAGTGGGGAGAATCTCATGGCGTTTTCGCATCATGGCATTCCATTCCGTCCATGGCCAATGATGGTTATGCTCTGGTAAATTAACATAGACCTACTAATAATGATGGTTAATGATGGTTCAAGATGCTTAGTAATTATGATTCATGGTTCATAGTGATGAAAAAAAAGGCTAAACTCTCTGGTTATGACTGACGTAGCGAACTGGAAAATCACAATGTTTAAGTTCCATAAATCATTATATTTATCATTTATAAACGGGCAGTTTTCCATAGCTATATGATACATACATATATATATATATATATGAAATAAGCGGAGGGCATATACATACATATATAAATATTTAAAGCGATTTAAAGTGGGGAAGCCCAATAATAAGCCTACCATTTGGGGATTGCTTATACAACCCATTTTGGGGATTTGGGGATGGTTTATGACTGGTTTTACCATCTTAAGCCTTATGTATATATATATATATAAAATCACTTTTGAATGCTTTAAATAGGGAAGATCAAGATTTGAAGTAGATTTGCAGCCCAAAAATCTGTGTAGACCTGCCCATTTGGCTGGTTCGTGCTTACAAGTCTCTTTTCATCATTTCATCCGGTCCATCATAGTATTTATATATATATATACTCGAAAATTTGGCTCTAAAGTAAAGATCCAAAATGTTCAGGCCCAATACGAAATATTCTGATGTGGGTAGTATTCAAATTAGTTTAAATTCGGTAGTAATATCCAATGCAAAATATTCAGATTCCAAAATTTAGATGTGAATTCTGGGCAAGTATTCAATCAGGGGATGCAGTATCTGAGATTTCGCAACCAGGGATGGCAACCAGAACGACAGATCCTGGGTACAAATGGTAGAGAGATGGAGAGTTAAAGGGTACTAGACAAGCCTTGGGTGGCTAGCGTTGAATCTAAATCGTTGGCCATTTAGTGTGCATACACATTTACTATTTTATATATATATATACTACTAGCTAACTAACTAACTAATCTATCTATCGATCTATCGATCGATCTATCTATCTATTTGTCTGTCTACATATCTATCTATCTACCTATCTACCTATCTACCTATCTACCTATCTACCTACCTACCTACCTATCTATCAATCTTTCTTTCTTCTTTCTTTCTTTCTTTCTGTTTTTTCCCCCATGTTATACCGTATACCAAGCATCCGGCATTAAGTAGCAGTTTTTTGGTGATTAGCAGGCTATCTGAGACTTGTCAAATGATTCAGTGAAATCAGCACGATCAAACTCCAGTAGGATTCGGGCAAAATTCTTTCTCGGAGCCTCAAACGCGAAACGCACGCGCGCGGACAGTTTCACCCTTTGTTTGGAGCATTTTTGAATTAATGGGGTCCCCCAGGGGGACAGCAGCAATGGTATTTGATGCCTTCGTTTCAATCTAACTGGAATCCCTCTAAACCAGCAAAACTTAATCACTGAATGGTTTTGTCCTCATGTATTGAGTCCATGTTTGTCAACATTTTGTACTTTTTTGGTTATTTACTCACAATGAATCGAACATAGACATGTAAATCCTAACTTTGGGCTTGAACATAGGTCCAGTTTTTGTGATCGAAGCTTAAGGCAACATAAAAGGGCACAAGTCCCATGTCCGAATTGATGTATTACCCATGTTTATGGGTACGTGGAGGGTCTAGGTTGGATGAAGTTCATGTGAAATCGCCAATTCCATAGTTTTCGGCACATCTTATTTTTTTTCCTATCTTTTTCGCCGGCTAATCGGCTAATCCTTGTGTGCGGCGCTGTCCCCATGGGTCCATGTGGCCAATGCCCACGATGGCAGATTTTTATCCAGTGGCCGTTGCCACGAGCAGAACAGAATCACGGAGACTCGCAACTGCAACAGAGAGGATTTACTGTGGTTTGACTAGATTACTACATGGAAAGAACTATGCATAGCCGCATAGATAACATATATGATAAGACTTGAAAAGGTAAAAAAACAAACTGAACACAACACAATACAACGTAACATAACACGTAACACAACCTAACACATAGTTGTGTAGCATAGCATAGATACTGTACAGGAGACAGACAACACAGCACAGCACAACACAACATAACAGATAATAACACAAAATAATGCGTAATTGAAGACAAAACAACGCAACACAACCTTGCCATACATTGGTTTACAATACCTTCTAGTACCGTACCACACCTATCCACACATCCATCCATGCATCCATTCATGCATACACGCATACATACAGGTACAGAAACGTGCGTTGTATAGATCGACATACATATAGACATACGTAGGCACACATAGTCGTATAGAGGCATTCATGGGCATATGTAGGCATACGCAGGCATACGTAGGGATACGTTGACATACATAGACACACATGACCGTACATACATATAGACATAATATATATTATTACATATATATACATACATAAACATGCCCAGACATGCGTAGACCCAGATAGACATATAGACATGCATCTACATACATAGACATACATAGACATACGTAGATTCAGATATAGGCAGACATAAACATGCATAGACGCACATAGGCACCCACACAAAGATATATAGGACATAAGTTCCCATTGCCTTTTTTCATTTTATCGCACACATTCATACATACAGGTATTTCTCCATGTTCTTCATTGTTATGTGTAAGTACAAAATAGTTGTTTACCATGGAGTGTCTCCGCGGTATTTTCCGGGAAGTCGGCCTGATCATCCCGCAATCCCATCCCCCGTTCATACTAAACACCCCAATGGCCTATGGCACCAATTATGTGGACATTCCATGACATTCCCTGCTAAATCATGGTTTCTAGAGGTGGGGATGGGATTACCCAAATCTACCCTTTTTTTTTTGATTGCAATCCATTCTGAGAATCCTTGGTATAATACTGTAACCAATCAGTTTGATGGACTATTGATGGGCTGACCACGGGTTTTGAACGTTGCTCATTTGGGTATGGCATGGATGCAGACCCAAGAGCAGCACCAGTGCGAAGTGGCATAGGCGAAGCGGCACGGCATGCCAGCCGTGGCAGCAGATTGTCATCCGTCCGGATTTTGGTATTATCTTATGATGAAGTGACATTGGTTATTGAAAATTTGAACATTTTAGAGTATAACAAACAGATTTGCATAGATTTGCGCACTAGAATAAATAAATATATATATATATATTCATTCATTTAATTAGTTTATTTACATAGACCTTATAACTTATAACTGTTTTACAATATATATATACACACTTGTTCTTTAAATGTATATGTAGATTTTTAGGGATACATCATAAAATAGAATAAACACGAACATACATGTATATATACATATTTGAACTATACATAGCGATACATCATAGATGAATATATGTGTATATATATATATATCATACATATAGGTCGCTTACACATATAGTGACCCAGAGGCCAGGTTTTTCACCTATATTTTTGGGCTATGCATAAAATCCTAGAGGGGGACATTGAATGGGACACTCCTAGAACATTCCTTTTCATAATTTTTAATTCCAATTAGTTCAAGTTCATTCCAAATTCCAAATGGTTATTGTTCAGTCCAAACATTTATTTTATATGTTTATTCCTTTGTGTTTTTTTTTGAGTTTGTGTGTGTGTTATTCTCTGTGATTTTTGTTTTTATTCTTTTTTGAGCGTTTATGTGTTTTCTAATTTGTTTGATTTTCCCTGGTTTTTTTCCCCCACCTGCCAGGTGAGGGTTGTTAGATTTTATCAGAGCGCTCTTCCTCCGCGTCATCGTCCTCCTCCTCGTCCTCCTCCTCGTCCTCCTCCTCCTCCTCGACTAGCTGTCCTCTTCCTCCTCGTCCTCCTCCTCGCCTCCTCCAGTTTCTCCTCGGCCATGTCTGCATCAACTTCCACCTGCACTTCCGCCTTGCCAACTCTTCGCCAAGCTCTTTGCCAACACTCCTTGCCGACTCTCTGCGCCAAGCTCTTTGCCAACTTCCCAGCTCAGTGTGCACTGCTGGACCTCAACCTGGGAGCTGCCCAGCTCAGTGTGCACCGCTGGACCTCAACCTGGGACCTGCCCAGCTCAGTGTGCACCGCTGGACCTCAACGGCCGGATAGAATGCCAGAAGATATGCCAGATGGAATGTCAGATAGAATGCCAGAAGATATGCCAGATAAAATGCCATGAGATATGCCAGATAGAATGCCAGAAGGTGTGCCAGATAGAATGCCAGAAGCTATGCCAGATAGAATGCTGGAAGATATGCCAGATAGAATGCCAGATAAAATGTCAGATAGATTGCCAGAAGATATGCCAGATAGAATGCCAGAAGGTATGCCAGGGAGAATGCCAGATAAAATGTCAGATAGAATGCCAGAAGATATGCCAGATAGAATGCCAGAAGATGTGCCAGATAAAATGTCAGAAGATATGCCAGAACATATGCCAGAAGATATGCCAGATAAAATGTCAGAAGATATGCCAGAACATATGCCAGAAGATATGCCAGGTAGAATGCCAGAAGATATGCCAGATAGAATGCCAGATCGAATGCCAGAAGATATGTCAGATAGAATGCCAGAAGATTTGCCAGTAACAAATCGATAAATGTCATGGTGGGGATCACGCGAAGCAAAGTAATTAAAAAAAACATTGGGTTCGTTGTGTTTATATATGTTTTGCGTTTTGTTTTTGAATTGTTGGATTGTGTTCTTTAAAATTGTTTTTGCATTTTTTGAATTGTTGCTTTTTGTTTGGATAGCAACTTTAGGAGTTATTGTTTTTGGATAGCCCTGTTAGGAGTAGCCCAGGGCTGGCAACACGCGAAATATTTCCTGTGATTCGCCAAAAAGTGTCCAACAGACAGTACCCTGTTGGATAAAACATGATTTTAGATTCGGATTAACCGTGATTAACCATCTAAAACCACCCAGTCATAATTTTAGATTCAGATTTGACTTTATATCTCAATTTGGGCCTGTTGCTATATTCGCCAAAGAAAACCTGCAACAAGTCTTGTCCTAAATGAAGTCACAGTTTT